GGGATTGCAATACACCAAGATGTGATATACATATCATCAGGAAAATATGCCGATCTCAAGCCGGAAGAATATTCAATTAATAACACTGAGCTACGTTTCATTTCCTACACTAACTGTAATCCCCATCAATTCTAAAATGAATTGCCAGAGCTTCGATATGGGTTGAATATACATATAAATGACCGACAAGATTTAATTCTTAGATTTTTCTAACATTTTAAAATTGTGGTCGGCTTTTTAAATTGTATTCGATATTTGCTATTGATATTTTCAATTTCATTATGTCCCAATGATAATAGGAGTGTTATGAAATCATTGGCAAATTTTATCTAATCATTGAATTGTTGGAAATTCCCCATATTTCCATTTCAGTTATTATTTATGGTTACTAAATACAAAATTAAATAAAAAACTAATAAATTAAAGCAAAACTTAGGAAAATCGTTGGTAAACAAATACAAAGCAATTAAAATGATCCCAGGTAAATACTAAGTAGTATTTGGATTTTCTCACATTCGCATGTATAAAGGAACTGATTGGACTGTGCAGTTATTGGATATGTGTTTGTGTTTGAGAGCTTACATATGCGTAATGGTAGAAAATGGAAAGGAATTAATTGTTTTGAATAATAGGAAGTTTTTAACATCAAGCAATTCCACGTCAATATTATACTGGAATTCTTGCTGTTCTGTCATTAATGGTTCCATAATAGACTTAGAATTACGAGGAAGTCGAAAAGAACAAAATATTTATGTGTTTAATGTGTTTTGGAAGACATTTCTAAAGGAACAATAACACCAAGGAAAGAACCATTTCAACCATTTATTTCTCAAACGATTTAATTCTCTATCAGCTCTGTTATTATGACTCGTATATTTTCAAACTCATTCTCAACTTAATTACTGTCGTAAATTAATCCTAAAACTAAAAATCTACAATAGGAAAAAAATCCAAAAAAACATACCAAAATACAAGAGATATCAGCAAATAGAACCTAAAAAATGAAAATATTAACCCTTCCAACTATTATTTACATTGTGGCATTCTATGAGAACCAGACAACATGACGTTCTAAACAACTCCAAGAAAACAATAACAACAATTACATAAAATAGTACAAGTATTGGCAACCGTAACACAATGTTTTTCGCTTGTTGTTTTAACACGTACGATTAGCACACGCATCAAACATTTCGAACCAAAAAAATAGGTTCTGTAAGTGGGAGGTATGTATCGAAATATTATAAACGTGTGCAGTTAATGCTCCAAATACATACCTACTACAACAACCTGTAGCTATAATTTGTATTGTAAATTTTACAGGTATTGAATTAGTTGTTGTATTTTTATGGTTTGTTTTTGTTTTAATCGAGAGATAATGTATGATTATTACTATTTATTATCACTCCAAGTTTTTCAATTTGTTTTCCACTTGTTGCTATTTGCCCGAGTTCAAAGTATACCGCTTATGTTTATGTTTTAGTTGTTAAATTCATTATTAAGTCATATGTTTAGTTTTTAAGTAGCAAATTATTTAGTAGCACAACAATTAGTTTATATATAGAAATTGAATTATTAAACATGCATATTTAATAAAAAATATGGTATTTTCCGGGAGACTTCTACTTTCCAGAAATATGTTTCGATAATTTATTGAAGTTTTAACCTCCGAAATTACGCAGATTGGTAATTGGTTTTATAAAATATGGTTTTTAGATTATTATTTTTTGAACTTCGAGAAATATGTATGTGGTTGATTTAAAATTTACAATAGAAAATCATTGCAATTGATAGGCTTATTAAATTTACAGTTTTATACGATAAATCTGCTCAATATAACAACACGACCGTTTCAAGAAATTTGGATATTAGCTCAAGAATGTCTGCGTGCTTAACTACCTTGACGGACTTATTTCACGGTGGTCTTTTTCATCCACTGGGAAGACTTGAGAACGGTCTGTCACTCTTCCCCTAGTGACTTCGATGAAGACAACTCAGGTGGCAGTTTTTGGAGTACTCGATATATTTAATCTTTTGTCAAGTGATCACGTTGCGGAATGACAGGTAGCAACAATACTACCCCGACACAGGCGGAGAAGTGCCGGTCGAGTCAGAGAAGAGGGGTAACGAAACCCCAACAAACGCACCAGATAAAACCATAATGTAACACCAAGATGTATCAGAAGCGACGGTCGATTCAGAAAAGAGGGGTAACGAAACTCCAACAAAAGCTCCCGATAAATCCAAAATCTCGATGTAACACCAAGATGGACCATAATGTATAAGCGTTGTCATGAGCGACGCCGTAGCGTCTCCATCCTCCGCTCAGGCTGATTTCTCGTCCCTCAGTCATACAACCATATCACAAAGCTCTGTTGATTCGGCAACATGAGAAACGACAGGATCCCTCTGTATGTCCAGATAATGTGACAAAGGATGTAGAAATTTCCAAAGTTAAAAGAACACAATAATTGCCCAGACAACCATTAATCGCGTAGCCTGTAACAATATGTTGTAATATGCATATGTTGTGGTGGCAACATCACCGAGAACTTCCCTCAGGTAAAAGGTATACTAGTCTCCCGCCGTGACAAGGGAGTCTTTCCCGATCATTCACCAACTTACATGAGATCCACTCTACGATCTACGGAATGACAGGCAACTACAGAGTGTCAACCTGAAAATTCCCTAACCTATACTGGCGCCCTACTACGCGACGAGTAAAGCTGGAAGGAAATAACACGCGTTGTATGGCTTGGTGTGTAACTTGCAGCTTGTAGAGAGCTAAAAGTATAAAAATTTTAAAAGGCGTGCCGCCTCATCGCGTGGTGTGTACTTCCACCTTAAGAGATACTCAACGGGTTCAGGAATCCAGCATAAGTTGTTCTGTCACATCACCCAGTGACATCTGTTAAGATGGCAACAGCACCGGAGGAAGAAGCCAGACATATATGGCATTTGGATATATCAGTATTTTTTTGGGTATTAAACCAGAGCCTCTACATGGATCTCGAAGGAACCTCAACCAACTAACCAGTCAAGACAAAGTCCTGCGGGGAAGTGTCCACCCGTAGTACCAGATTATCTAGTGCTCTGGTTTGACCCCGTGTCAAATTAATCCATCATCACCAGTTTATAGTCCCGGCAGACTAGAGATATTGGTAGCACCTCTATACCCCGGGATTGCAATACACCAAGATGGGATATATCATCAAGGAAATATTCCGAGCTCAAGCCGGAAGAATATACAATTAATATCGCAGGCCAACGATAAAAAACTTTTTAAATAATTTTCACTAATCGCAATTTGTTTTGGTGTGCTGATTCCGAATATGAACACATTTTCATCTTTTAGTCCTTCTGACTGTGTACCAAATATAAAATATGAACCATAAAGAACGGAATAAAATAGTAAATAAATTAGGATTTGAGGATTTCGGAGAAAATTTTTTTTTTTTTGTAATATTTTTAAAAATTAGCATTAATTTCTTACTGCTATGGGTTTTTATATATAAATTATTCAGAATATACAATTCAATATAATAGGAAGGATACATTTGTAGTTTTATGAAAATTTAATAATGTGGTGATAGAGAATAACGGATATCAGATTCGGTTTTATCAGCTAAAAATACATTAAAAACAGTAGAATTGGTTTCAAAAGTTTTCTCAAACCTTCAATTCGTGATATTAAAAAAGTACATATAGCTAGTTGAGAATATTTATGGAATATTAAGAATAATTATGGGAAATTTCAAACAAATAGAGCTTTATACCAATCGTCTTATAATCGTTTTCTGTGTCGATTTATCTAAACAGTAAATCACATTTTATTCTTATAACTGGAGTCGGCCTTGCCGACTTTTTTTTATTAAATTCCTTTCTCAGACTTATTCTAAGTCGCAGTGTTGCATATGAAAGAGTTAATTTTAACTGATATTAAATCTCATTTTTTTAATTTTATAAAAATCTATTAATAATTTAATTGTACCAGATCCAAACATATGTACAGCTGTTGTCATTAAGAACAAAAATTGTGAATATATAAAATAAAAAAAAACGTTCAAAAATTCGATTTTTTAGGTGTTAAAAAAATATTTCAAGTACTTCTCTAAATTAGGCGTATACTTAATATTTGCAATATCAATAAATCATTAACACGTATACGTACAGGTGTCGTTAATAATAATGTAAAACTTTCCACTTGAAATGAAAAAAAAGTTAATTTTTTTGGATTTTATATGTTTTTCTTTATGACAAGAGCTAGAACTTTGTCTTAGAAAGAAAAACAAAATTCCTCAATTCCGAGAAGATATGAGCCTGACAAAATTATCACTTTTTGGCAAAAATGACACCGAGCCTCCAAATCTTTGGGGGTCCATAAAAAAGAGTACATGATTTTGGTCAAAATTGGGAGACACGGGTCTTTTTTTTTGATTTTTTATCACGTAGTGGTCTCCGTAAATGATTATATTTCCATACAAAGTCGAAAAAAATATTTTTGTTTCAAGACATACAAAATATAGGAAAAATAATGAGTTTTTGAAAAATATTATTTGCAGATTTTTCTGGTTTTAAATCGGAAAATTTTCGAAAGCCTGTCTGCTAAAATTATCAAAGATTTGGGGCCTTAAACAATTTATTTCAATAACTTTATGAATAGACTTTGTTCTTTTCACCATATTAAATTTTACAATACCGCCTTTAAAAGACAAAAATTTTATAATCCTTCCAATATTCGTTAAAAAATTCGGAAAATTTACACTATACCTACCCTTCCCAGGAAGGTGAAATGTATAACAACTTTTAAAACAAATTCTATACACATTAAAAATTTAGATTGTTGCAATTTTCATATAACAAAAACACTATAAAACGAAACTTTTTAGATATTTTCACCAATTCGGTTTTTTGATTTAAAATAAATCAAAATTTGGTACAACAAATTTTTTATAAAGATTTTTATTTTAATTTTTTATTTAATATAACAATAAATTTACCTTTAACCACAGTAAATAAAATGAGAAACATCCATAAGGCCAAATAAAATGTTTTAAAAGCCATTTCTTTTGTTTTTAGCACACACTTTTTTTATTTTAAATATTTGTTTTAATTTTTTATTTCAAAAATAATTTCTTTAACCTCTTTAAAAAAATTTTTGTAAAAATCAAACAAAATAAATCAACAAGTCCACTTGTACTAATAGAAATGTAATATTAAAACTTAGAACGTGTTTTAATATTTGTTTTACTTTTATTTCCTTCCGATTTCCGTTAGAGTTTGAAGCAGAATTTAAACTGTCCACTAAAACATGGTTTACATGGGGTTTTTATACAACTGCTGCAGGAATAGTGAACAAAAAAAAAAAAAAAAACAAAATAAAAATCAACAAGATACAAGAAAAGCCACCATGTTAAAAGACTACAAATCACATACATCATCGACATTTACACATATATTTCTTAATATGTGTATGTGTGTGTGAGTTATGACCACACACACACGCACACTTACTGAAACCATTATAAAATTATATTAAACAAAATGAATGCAAAAAAAAAAAACAAACAACCATGATGTTGGTACGAATTATAAAAGACAAGATAACAGACCTACGAGATACAAGATACGAGGCATACGATAAGAACGACAATATACAGAGGCGTTTAGCGTTTAACGCAGAAGCAACCAACCAGTTCATTGGTTGAAAAACAAATTGTCTTTGGTTTTTGCTTTTGAATTTGTTTTGCAGGATGCATTTGCGGTACATAAAAGAAATTTTCTTAGGTTGGGTGTAAGTGGCAAATACGTCACAGCTAAGTAACAGGTTTTTCTGACACACACACTCTCAGATATAAAGTGTTAACAACACATGTATACTACAAAATTTGATAAGATTTCCTAACGGCCAACTAAATTCAAATGTACGTATGGTGTAGTGTATGAAAGCTTTTATGTTTGAGCTTTACCTTACAAATACAAGCACATGTAATTCTAATACTTTTAAGTACCCTGCAGTTCAGCAAGGCTTTCCCGAACTAGTAAACATGTCTTTATTTCAATTAAAACAGATATTAAAGTTGAAACATCAATATGTCCTAGGATGGATTTGGACTACAAACATAAATTAAGATATCTGGGTAAATTACTGTCTTTCTCTAAAAAACAGCTGGGTGTTTGGAACTATGGCCAGCTTCATTTTAGTGTAGGTGTATATGCTTAGTTAGTGTGTTTGTGATTCATACCCTATGTGCGTGTAACTTTTCGTAACGATGCATTATTTTAATCATCTAATCCATAAACTTATACGAAAGTTTATTATTTCCGTTGCATTTTTACGTTTTTATTATTTTGCTTTCATTTTCTATGGAATTGTCTGCTGCTTTAGCTTTCACACGCACACAGGTGTTTTTTCACACATGCATGCAATAGTCTATACTACAAAGGATTTTAATAAAGACATAAGTTATTATTAATATTCTTCTCTGTTAAGAGAAACAAATTTCTGGGCACTAACATGGAAGCTGGAATTTGAGACATATCTGAGTACAAACATAATGACCTAGAACGATATATGATGGTTAGGTATACTAAATGATTGATTTAGTTGTTCGCTACTAGTAATCATCTGATCTATGAAACATTAGATCTAACGAGAAGTGTGCTCTTTTCAAAACGTTGTCCTCTCGATTATAATTGTCTGCTTACGCATAGTCAAACAATCAGAACATTTGCGAGTCATTGGATTCTTTAAACAAGGAACACCTAGGAAAGTCGTAAGGTACTATCCGTATTTTGGGACTTCCCGGGACTACAGCGTAAGTCTTAATCGGAAACTACAATAGTAATAGCACATAAAGGATAGAACCAATAAAACATAGTGATATTGGACGCTATGTAGGTGAACCTTATGATCGAAATGGGAATTTCTATAATCTGATGGACTGCTTTAGACAAAAATTGGGAGTCTAGCGTACATGTGCTTGTCTGTAAGCAGCGCCATGAGTACAACAACGACCAAAACTGTAGAAACATTGTTGGACTTTCCTCCGTATGTATATCAGAGATCAGAGGAAAATTTTCACCTTCTCCGCGAAATATTTGCCTCAATTGGGCTTTGAACTTGCTTAACCATCACCAGCAAAACTAAAGGTGATAATAGCGCACCTGAGGATGATGGTCCCTATCGTTAGAATACACGCGTTGGCAAGATGGTTGATTACAACGTCATCCTGGTGCTGATACTTTTTTCGTTTTAGATCAAAAACGCACTGTTATTTCTAATTGTTGAAGAACTTAACAGACCAATGTTTGGTAGCGTTTTTGTGTTTTGGACTTTGTATTGTCGTGGTCCCTTCGGTGTGCACGTGGCTTAAACCCAAATTCGCGACAAGAGAATGTTGGTTAAGGAATGAAGCACGGTAAAGTCTATAAATTGTAATTGTTCGGTGCTGTTGTCGAGACAACAGATATCCCACAGAAGAGTGATTGTGGGACTTAGCGTTGGAAATGAATTGGTGTTAAGTGTATATGATACGGGATAAATGTTGGGGTATGCGGAGCTTACCCACCTGTGTACTTAAAGTGGGGTTGTCGGATGAATAAGAGGTGTGCTGCGGTGAATGGTGATGGATATAAGGTATCTTATACCTTACAACCATCGTTAGTCGATGAGTCTAATAGCTCATCCTGTGGATGAAAAAGACCACCGTGAAATAATGCCGTCAAAGCAGGTGTTTACAAAAAGCACTTCTACATTCTTGAGGTTTTCACCCGACAGCCATTTGATTTTTCAAGGCTTCAATGGTCAACCTAGTCAATCGCAAAAAGATCGTTTGGGGCAAAACTTTCATTTAATTTCACGACGCTGATGGCGTAGCAACCCTGCTGGAATTCGTTTTCCATTGATGGCTCAAAACTGGGAGACACAAGAGGTTTGGGGATCTACATTGAAAATCCAGAAAACGAATCACAACACTAACATTCAGGATAACAGGCGATAACATACAGCCAGAAGGTAATTAGAGCGATATCAGCTTTTAACATTATGTATGTAAGATGGTCATAACAAAATACTCTTCCAGTGATAACCTCTTCATCATACAGAAGTGGCAAATGCAAAACCGTTCCATGGAATAGTGGAACGGAGGAAAGGAATACTAATATCCTAAAAGGAGACCCCTACGAGAGCAAGTTAGTATGACGGTACCTATTCTTAATGCATAATTAAAATCCAATTGAAATATTCGTCCAGATGAATGTAGAGCATTCATAGAGGAAAAGGAAATGCTGAAATACTTTCTATGCAATTTTCAGATTTTCGTCGAAATTAGATCCAAATATCTTGGAAGTGATATTCTTCCAGATATAACATCCTTCAGGAACACTGATTGAATAGTTCTAAGGAACTACGTTCAAGAAACTGAGCATCTGAACATAGATGTGAATGTGGCTATGGATAAACAGAGGAAGGAACAGAAAAGATTTGGAATAAACTAAGATCTGTCATAATAGACAATAGGAAGGACTACTGCATTATAGCTGAAACGCTAAAAGAGCGAAGGAACTTCACTATCCAAAGTCCATTTATAGGCATATGAGGAAAAAAGTATAACAGGACGAATGGAAGAGACTGACAGTGCTGAATACTACTACGAGCTATCGTAAATATCGATAAATTTTCTAAGGAAAATTAATCGAAAATATTTAATATTTTTTTATAGAATTAATCGAAAATATCTATCAAAAAATTTATCAAAAAATTTTCTTTTATCGAAAAATGTTCTATCGAAAATTTATCGAAAAATCTAAATTATTTCTGTAAGAAATTTATCGAAACATTTGTGATACGAAATTTATCGATAAATTTTCTATAGAGAATTTATCCAAAAACAATTGTAAAATATCGATAAAATATTTTCTATAAAAAAATGCATGTAAATTATGCTGAAAATCACTATAGAAATATACATACATAAGTACATACATATGTAATTAAGAATGTACTTATATTTATTTATAGAAAGTCTTAAAATGCCTCCTTAATCATTTCGATCCGAGTATAACTGATTCATTTCTATTTTTGGGGGACAATACAACTTTGATGTCATTTTTTTTTCTCGCTAGTCTTTTATGATTCTTTGAACTAACAGCTGTTGTTGTTGTTAGTGGAATGTTATGGCATTTTACCGTCAAGAAGAAACCACAATAAAGTGTTCAGTTGTAAACAGTTCGAAAGTCATTAACCAAATCTTTTTATCAGTGATATTTTGTTTTACGTGTTGTACGTCACAGCAAAGAGTTTTCGTCATATTTTGAAATTTTTATTTATGACCATTAACAATTGGACGCAAATATTTTGTGGATGATAAAGAAGACCAAAGGTGTTTTTTTTTTTTTTTTTGTAAAATTGAGGGGAAAAACTTCTCCGTTACGCGCATATGTATTGTGTAAAGTCTGATAGTCAAACATCCGGATAAACAAATTGATTAAAAAGATATCACAGATTTTTATAGCTTGATTTTGTATTTATGAATCAATAACAAAGTCAAAGTCTGAATTTGTGTTAAGTTTTTAGTTTGATATAACCAGAGATATAAACATGAAAACAAAGAGGCTTTTGTAGATTGATTAAAGGATATTATAAAATTAATACTGGAATTGATTTGCTACTTATCGTGTTGCAGTCGTACAATAGTCTCTAAAGTCTTGACACGTAAAAACTGACATATCTAAATTATATACTATATACTATAAATTGTGAAAATATGGAACTAATTTTAAACAGTTCCAAAATTATGGACCTTTTTAGCTATGACCAATTATAGTTATATGTTGACCCTAAAATATAATACTATCGAATTTTACTCCGATATCATTATTTATAAATTAAATATATTCGTGTAAGTAATTTTCGAACGTTGGCCTTATGGACCAATCCGTGAAATGATTTATATGCATAAACACAAAATATATTGATGTCAAATTTTAACCCGATATCTTTTTTGATAAATGAAATATATGTGTTTAAATGACATTCGGAAGTGAATGTTATGAGCTATGACAAATTATGGACCGATAAAGATTTAGGTGGGTAATATGATTTCAGTTCATAAAAATTTTTTAAGTGATAATTATATTTTTGTGGCAGTTATAAACAACCGTTACCAAATCATAACGACAGCCAGAAGGCAATTAGGGCGATATCAGGTAATAGAATTAAATCTAAGACCGTATTGGATTGTAAGAAACCTTTAACTAAATACTCTACCAGAGGTAAGGCTT